CCATACTGGAGCTGGTGCTGGTGAGCTGCTAACTGGGATGGCAGGACAGTGTGGTGGTGCTGGGTCAAAGGCTGCTGGGAGCTCTTCTGCGTGGAATAGGATGGGAGAGAGAGGTCTGGCCCCCCTAAAGGCATGCAAATCATGACTTTCTTTGGAGGTAGTGGAGGTGACAGTTTAACTGGCATACAAGGCAGTTTCACAGGAGCGCCAGGATCTAAAAGAGAAGAAAGAGAGGCCCTGGTGTTAATTTTCATGTCAGTAAGATGGAGATCAGAGTATCTGCCTGGGCAGAGAGGCACTTAGGCTGCTAGTCAACACAGGAGCGTGCACTCCCTCCCTGCTGTGACAGACAGCTCTGGGTTGAGTGTGCTCAGCACGGTCTTCAGAAAAAATACTGGCTTTGCAGCACTGCTGAGTCTCACAAAAACCATCCTGTTTTTGTGCAGGCCCCTTAACAAACATGTTAAGCAATGCTTAGTAAGGCTTGTGGCACACTTTGGTGCTTTGAAGCCCTAATCCTTCAAACCAACCCTCTGAGGTAAGCACAACATCTCCTGCTCAACAGGCACACAAATGGGGAGAGAATCTGGTGTCTGAAGCTCCAGGGTGACTCACCACCATGGAGCAAAAGCTCAGGGACTCCTGCTCCTCCTCAGCCACTGCAGGGCAATTACCACAAGTCACATTTCTGACAGCTTTGCGATACGTAAAGCATCTGGTGTTAGAAATTACATCACAGGACAAAAGAGAAAAGAAAGAGGGTTTGAATACTAAACAGGAGTGGTCTACAGACACGAAGCTACTGGAGAAGAAAATGATGCAGGGCAGAAGATTGTTAGGATTCATGTATTCTTTTACAGAGGGCTTGGCAGGCACTTTTCTCTGGATTGATGCACTGAGTTTTAACCTTTTTAACTCTAGGCATGTTCACTAAATCACATAATTGACCTGCCAGGCAAAGACTCCCCTGACTTCCATGAGAAATCAATGAGAGGTCTACAAGCAAACTCCTCTGCCAGGATTCAGCTGCAGCATGGAGATTTTTGGAGTTGCACTGTGAAAGGTTTTCAGAAGGGAGAAGAAGGAACGGGAGGGACTGTGGTTCCCAAGATGGGTGTGGGAAATGGTCACAACACATGCCAAGAGCATAAAGATATAAGGTATACGTGCTGTGAGTTAGTGTTTAGAAGGAAGGCCAGGCCCTTTCCAGCCTGGAACATCACAGACATTTGGCTCTGCAATGCAGCTCTGTGGGCAAGGCTTGCATGATCTTTGTCCTCTTGCTGCTCCAGTTCACTCTTGCTGTAACATGGCAACAGAATTAAAGGGTCAGAATCTTCCTTGGACCTGAGAAAGCTTGGGAGTAAGTTGTTGCTCTCCAGGTTTCAAAGTCATCACCCTCCTGAGCAATATGAGATTTCTGAAGTCCTTTTCCAGACGGTTCTTTTTAATATTAACTATCCCTCCCCCTGTCCCATTATTCTTTCCTCTCTCCTGGCCTGTTCTGGCTGTTGCCTCTATTAGCACCCATAACTAATAGCCAGGGTGCACGAGGCTGACACTAGGACCTCCAAGCACTAATACACCTTGAAAACGACCATGCATAGAGCCAAGCTCAGATATGTCATTAGACTTTTTTTAGAGCTTGTCATAGCTTCATTGCATCCACAGTATCCACTTGATACTAGTGTTTTCACTGCTCTAGGAACAACACACTGACAGTAGGTCTTCCCTTTCTTGAAAAGGCTTATAGGCCAAAGACACAGGAGAGGCAAAGGGTGTGCAAAGACAAAGCAGGCCTGGAGAGACAGTGCTCTTTCCACGTTGCAGAGTGGGAGAGTGATAAAGAGTAGAACCCAAGTCTTTAGGCTTTCAAAGCAACACCATATCCATTTGAGGTGTTGTCTTTTGAAAGTAAAAATTCTTCTGGTGGCCCCACCAAGGCTGAAATCTAACTCATGGGGTTGCCAAAGCGCAGGGCACTGCCCTCTCCTCTCTCTCCTCTAAAGCAGATTGGCTTCTAGACAGGAGGGAAAAAAGGACTTGCAGGGGTTTCTATTCAAGCACAGGAAGGTCTCAGTTACAGTGTTTTTCTGAGGTACACATTATCTGTGTGTATTTCCCCTTTGTATCCTGCACAAAAGAACACACCTCTTCAGTAAAAGATAAATAACAGACAGAGCCAAGCGTAAATTGTATCGAGCCCTGAGAATAAGTCTCCCATGGGAACTGTAGTAACAAAGTGTTCTCCTACATTTGTGCTCCTGGCAGTTTCACTTCTAGAGCTGGTCCTGAATTACAAAGACTGCTGAGATCTGCACTGCCATGTTAAAAAGCAGAGGTTTGGCTGTTGGGTTTGGGGGCTTTTCTGCTGATGGTGCCTGTGCCTGGCTGCACACCACGCTGTGTATGATGCAGAGGAGTCACTCCTGATGGTGCATTCAAAGAGATCCCAACTGCAGGCATCTCTTGCTTCTGACAAAAGAATAACTGGAAGTATCAGTTGGGTTTGCTTCCTTCTGTGATCCTGAGGATGACAGCAACACTGTGTGTTGGGAGTGACTATAACATGCCAAATGGTTCAGGGATAAAGCAAACAGGAAGCCTCCCACCTTTCTTTTAAAATATAGTGAAAATGTCTTTGCCTTTCTCATGCAGGTATTGATCATGTAAAGCTGTGATACAGGCACTGCAGCTGTTGGGTTGCATGGAATAAAAAGTCTAGCTCCATTATCCTGAGTAACCACATACTCCACTGTGAATCAGACTGCATGCTCTGTTTTCCACTCTTCACAACAAAAGACCTTTAGTTTCCATTTGATTTTAAAGAAATCCTTCACATTAGCATGTTTTCAGTGCTATCAGTGTTGGATGACTCCACTGGACACCTGCCAAAACCCTTTTCTGTTATTTTTAATGTAAGGCTTTATTCAGACCGACCCTGTTTCACTCAAGCTCTTGAGCCTGTCTGAATATGTCCCCAGCCCCTAAATTGCAAATGAACCAGAGGCATTAACTCTACTTGTCTGCCCTTCACCTCTGGGAGAACTCCACTTGTCAGTTTAAAAAACAAATGGCTAAAAGGAGAATGACTTCAGTGGGAGGAGAGCTCAATCCATTCACTTGGAAACATATCAGTGTATCTTCACCAACAGCAGTAACAGAGACCTCGTACCACAAGTGTTACTGTGTGGTCAGACCAGTGAGTGTGCTTGCTCAGGTCCATGGGCTCCAGGCACGCTGCTGGAAACTGCTCTACCACCCTCTGGACCAAGCCAGAGCACAACTTGTCCCTGCACATACGAGTGAGATGACTGGGGTTTAGAGTTCTTCCCTCTGTCCATTTTAATTTCATAATGCCTGTGATTTATGAACCAGGGCTGGAAACAGTTATTGTCTCCAGCATGGACTATCCATCAGACACGGACATCCGCAGATGAAGAAGAAGCTGGACAGTGGAAATATGAACATGGAATCTTTGATAAGTGTCTTCTCAGTGGAACGCCACCAGAGCCTTAAAGCACAAAGCACTCAAGTGACAGAAGAGGAGCAAACTGTGCGAAGCCAAGTGTGCAAGTCTGATTAATCTCTTTTGGCTGAGGTTCTTCACGCTCAAGAGAATAATGAGCAATTTTGCAAGACGCTGGTTCCCAGCAGGGTTGTGACCACTCAGCACTGTGCATGGGTAAGTAATAACTATGCCAGAACTGATGAAGGAGATGCTAGACACAGAAACCTTCCCGCTGCTGATGACAATAAATTACTTAAAAGATAGTTGTGGATGCCACAATACTCGCTGCACATCAGACCCATGCCAAACAGGTCAGCCCTTACCCCTGCCATACACATCACTTTGCTAAGACCTACAGTTGCTGCATTTCCTCTCAGGTTTTCCAGGAGATAGGTAAAAATGCTGGCTACGTGTGCTATCCTGTCAGCAGGAGAAAAGCTTGACTCTTTGTGATGCCAAAGAGGCACCAGCATTATACCCCAACAGCAAGGAAGGCCAACAACCTGCTGGGTTTTATGAGTAGAAGCACAGCTACAAGATCAAGGGATTGTTCCCCTTCTATTCAGAGCTCCTTGGACTGACACGTTACTGTGTCAAGCTTTGGACTCCCAAGGAAAGACTTCAAAACCCTAGAATGAGTTGAGCAAAGGACCACCATGATGACTGAGGGCTGGAGAACCTGATGTGTGAGGAGAAGCAGAGGGACTGGGGTTTGTTCAGCTTGGAGAAAAGATATCTTGGGGGGAGGGATGGATGTAGTAACAGCCCTCCAGTACCTGAAGGTTGTTGATAAGGTGGAGCCAGGCTCTTCACAGTTGTGGATGGTGGAAGGAGGAGACAAGAAGTTCTGGACTGGACTATAAGAAAAACATTCCCCCCTATGAGAAGACCCAAACAGTGGAAAAGGTTTGCCCAGACAGGTTGTGCAGCTGGCACCCTTCCAGGTTTTCAAGACACAGCTGGACAAAGCCCTGAGCAACCTGGTCTGATCCCATAGGTGGCTCTGCTTGGAGCAAAAGGTTGGACTGGGGACTTGTTATTAATTCTGTGAAGTAATGTGCCAAAAAAAAAAGTAAAAACTAAAGTGCCAAACCAAGTGTGGCCTGTTGAAGGAGCTCCATTGTTGAAATGAGGTGATGTGCCTGATATTTGCTGGTAGCATTTGGACAAGTAACTTTTACTTTTTCAGGTCTTCTCTCTGGGAATCTCTTGTGCCTGAACAGCAGGAGTCTCTTTTCTTATTTCAATGAGTTTTTGAGCAGATTCATAAAGACAAGTTAAAAATTTTTCACAAAGATTTGCCATGCATCTCCTGCTGACTGCAGCAAGATCTGCAGTCATGTCTTCAGGGAAGATTTGAGGCAGAAATTCTTTACTGTTCTTCTGCACCACATATGCACCCAAGGTTCAAGCTGAATTTGGAGAACACAAGCAAAGCATGCTCAGCCTAAAGGTTGAAAAATACAGCTCCACATGAATTCCTGTGCAGAGCCTTGAAGAGGGTTTCAAAGATGGGAAGATCTCCTGACACTGCATGTGCTAGGTACTCCCCTCCAGGTAGCAGCAGGCAGAAGTATGGAGAGATCAACTGCATCCACATCCAGTCTCCTGTGAGAATTGGGGGTGCTGGTGAAGGAAAGCTGCTTTTGCTCTGCTGCTTCTCTCTCAGGTGCACAGTGAAAAGAGAATTGTCCATTGCCCCCATGTGAATGCAACCTGCCTTCATGAAGTAGCCTCCCAGAACAGGCAGCAGGAGGTAACAGTGAAGAGGAGGAGACTTGTGGATGATGTCTTGGGCTCACCTACAGAGGAGCCTCCTGAGACACGTGTGACTGTTGTGTTATAAGATACTGCAGAGAATATTTATTGGATAAACTGTAGTTGTAAATACTTTTATAATGCTGTAACTAACAGCCAGCTGTGCTATGGCAACACAGCAGGACACCAGGAATCCATGTCCTCAGCCCTCATCCTTGGCTTGTCTGCATTATCAGAAATAACTTCTGGGGACTTGTAACATTTCCTACCCTGTCAAATGTTTGCCTCTTATTATAAATTAGTTCTTACTCTACAGAGACATAACTAGAAAGCACAATCTCAGCACTAAAAATGTGTTACATCTCTCCTCAAAATCTTGAATGAAGGAAGCAGGAGAATGCAGAGGGTTTTCAAAGCTTAAATACAATAACTGAGTGGCCAGATATAACCAAGGCCACACCCTACTGTAACATTAGGGTAAATTTGGGCTCAAATAACTTAGATGTTGATGAGATCCCAGGTTAGTGGCATAGATTTTGTCCTCTGCTGTTTTAGGTAACTTTATGGGTTTCTGCTGATTCAGCTGTTTGGATGGAAACTGCCTAATTGATTTCAGAAAACATGATCTGTGCTGGTTAGAAGGAACAGCTTAGTGAACCAAGATCAGAAGAAGCTTTACATCACTGCTGTTGTCCATCCAATCATATATGACCAGTCTTCTTGGTGCTCTTGGTATTAAAGATTTTATGACAATCTGGGGTCTTTACCCCAGCAGTCCAGTTCAGTTTGGTTTGAGGTGATTATTTCAGCTCCTCCTCCATTTTCAGTGAAGGGGACTGCAAGTGTTGACCTAAATGCAAGGGTTCTGCATGTGGACATTGGAGAGTCAGAAGGAGAGAAGAACTTCTGTCTGTGAACACTATTAATAATAATCATATCCAAAACCCAGCAGAAGGCTCACCAGGAGGTGCCTGGCCAACAGCAAATGCAGAGCAGTGAAACAACAGTATCCAAAGTTAAGGATCATGTTTTTCTCCCACTGTTGTCTGTCTTCTAGTGCTGCGTGGGCACTTCCACACCCAGTGCTGTGATAGGGACGTTCCTCGTGGAGGCAGCATCATCAAAAGCATGGGAGATGACGTGAGGCAAAGCATGGAGCATCTTCTGCAGAGGTGGTGGCACAGCTCCAAGTGGCTGCTCTGCAGTCTGCTCTTGGCTCTGTCCCTGTTCCTGCACTGTCCCATCCCCACAGCACCTCAGCTTTGAGAAGAACCATGCCAAGGCTGTGTGATCTATATTTGCTAGAGGCAAGTCTCTGTTCCTGTCACCTTTAATATTTTTTTTCTTTCCATTCTTCCCAAAATTAAATGTGCTCTTACATGTTCATTTTAGGCCTTCTCTTTTGTGTGAGTTTCTTATCAAGAGAAAGGCCAATCTTTGTCTTGGCACAGGCAGACAGATATTTGAGATGGTTCACAAATGCTTTCAGAAATGAGGAATGTTTCTTCTTCATTTCTAAAACCTGTATGAAGTCCTTTGCCAAACCCTGCAAGGCAGTCTTCATGCCTTTATTGAAGAACTTTGGGACAAGCTGACAGCAAGAAGGTAGTCAGACTCAAAGGAAGCTTTTCTCTCCTCAAGTTGTGTATTTAAAATATTCCTCCTTTTTTTTTTTCCTTGTCTGCTGACCACACCTGTAGTGATTTTATAATATATGTTTATATAAAACACCTTTCTATTAAATAAATATACATATGTACACAGACATATATATACATATATCTTGAGGCAAAGAGCTGCTTCTGCACTTTCAGATGTGTACCTGAACCCTTCACAAGATCACACGTCCTCTTCCAGTCTTCCTGAACAGAGCTACCAGACCATTAAACCACTGTTACTCTCCATTAGCCATGCCCAGCATGTCTTAATTTGCCCTTCAACCTTCTCCTAAAATCTTCAGTGGAAAAACGGGCATGCCACAAAGAAGAGTCTTCACCTCATATGCCAGAATTCAGATTTTACTTGTTTTCTCACACACAAGCTGAGGATGTCTCTGGAGTAATTAGCAAGAGAATAGCATTAATTCTGCTTCTCACTGATGAGGGTGCTTCATTAGGGCTGATTGCTCATTTCCAAAGATTATACATGGCTAAAATAATTACCAGTGGAGAACACAAGGCACTGAACAACACGTATATCCTTTAGACCACCAAAGCAAATGGACCTTTAAGAATAAGTTTACTACTTTTATTTATAAAGTTTGTATAAATGAGGCTTTTAGTTCCACCAGGAATATCTGTCAGCTAAATTAGGGCCCTATGACTAAATCTGAATCTCTTGTTCCTTTTCCCTGAGGGTTCTGTATATGCATGTGCAACAGTCTGTCTATATGCACATGCAGGAATTTATTTAGGGCTGGGTGAGAGACCACTAAAGGCCACCACAAAGAGAAGTCATAGTTCTGTTTCACTTTCACTGGAAAATTGTCACCATCAAGCAATTCACTTATGCTGATAGCCTGATCCTGATCCTATTTCACTAAAGATCCCCACACCAGAAGCCCTCATCCTTTGATTCTTCTGCTACCTCTTGCAAAAGAAAGGCTTGTGAATGAAGGACATTTAGTACCAGAGTTTTTTCCTGTGCCATTCCTACTTTTTTTATTTCTTCCATGTCAGCCTCATTTCTGAGCAGCTTCTTATAATTGGGACAGAGTGTTATGGAGAGATCATAAGAAGCTGGTTTTGTCCTCACCTAAAGCCATTAATACTGCTGCCTGGCTTTGAAGGCTTCAGAACTGCCCATTCAGTTTGTAAAGCAAGGCAAAATATTAACCATTATGTGTAGATTTTGGCAGGCAAGAAAGCAAAGAGATTTCACATAAAATGAACAAATCTATACAGAACAAAAATGTGTGGTCATCCAAACAGGAACATGAAGGGACTGCACAGAGATAGGAGAGAAAACCTGAACGTGCTCTTTCCTAATGAGGTCTTTCCTGACAGATATCTTTACCTGAACAAAATGGGTACCTGCTGTCAGGGAAAAAACAACCCTAGAATGTATTCACATGGGCTGAGTGTTCCTCACATCAGCTCTGCAAAGATCAGAGCAGCACTAACACAAGAAGAGTGACCCAGTGAGAAGAGCAGTAGCTGCCCCAGCACAGAGATGCACCACACCTCGTCTTGAACTCTGCTTTTTGAGTTTTTCTGCAGTTATGAGCAGACAGTTCAAAAGGTGCAGGCAAGCATTCAGGGAACCTTTTCTGGTCTATGTAAATGTAGCTATCCTTTGCTTCAGTGATCTAATTGAGGGACTGGAGAGAGGAGACCCACCAGTCCTCCTTCCAAATGTACCTAGAGCTTTGAATCCAAAAGAGCCTGGACACTTGTGAAAACATCTGGAATACAAAAAAGAAGGAACCTCTATTGTCCACTGTTGCTGGCTGCCATGCAGCAAGTGATAAATTGCACTGTAAATTGGAGGATACCAAAATTCTGGTCATTGGGAACTGGAGCTGCCCATCAGCATCAGGACTCTCCACTGGGAGGGGAGTAGCCAGAGCAGGGGGGTAAAGAGGGAGCAGTTAGACAGGCAGTGTGAGCAGGGAAGCAAAGTGGCAAGAAGCCACAGGACAGAATGGCCTGTGTAAGGATTGGGGGGGCCAAGCAGAAGACAAACATATGGAAAGATACAGGCTGTGTGCAGGGAGACCTGCCCAGAGGGCAGGGGAGGGCAGAAGCAACAAAGGGATGAAGGAGAAAGCAAAACTTTTTCTCTTCAACTCTCACCCCTTTCCTCTTTAAAGGCATTTAAAGATGTCCTAATATTTTCCTGACACTTCCTCCCCATCAAAGCACACCCTGTGTTTTCCTGGTGATGGTAACTCTTGATGAATAAGAGTGAGGAGGGTTGGGAGATGTGGTGGCCACCTGAGGTACTTACAGTTGAGAGGGGAAGGGCCCTCAAGCAACCCCGATGAAGTCATAGCCTGAAAATGCTTCCTGATCCCTGCCCCAGCTCCCACACAGATACACCATACACACAACAACATGTGCCAACAACGTCACAGAGGGGGAGGGACACCCAGAACCTTGCTGTAAGGGCAGGGTTTTCCTACAAGGGAAACGTTGGTGCTGAGGGTCCAGGAACACCTACTTACCAGTTAAGTGGCTGGCAATCCTGGCAATGGGTTTAGGAGGCAGGGCAGGGGGCTGTTTGAGGAGGGACAACTGTTTCACTGGGGTGTCCTCATGGTCTCCAGGGAAAGCAGCAGATTTTTTGGGGGGAAGTAGCAGGACTGGCTTAGCTGTAGGATCTTGGGACAGGAGGACGCCGGATTCATTGGATGTGGGGCTCTCTTCAGACACTGGAGGACACAACCACATCATAGACGCAACAACGTTATGAGCAAAGCAGCAGCAGCAGCAGATAGAGCCACAGAGAGGAGGAAAAGCAGCCCAGCAAGGCGGGTTGGGAACGACCAAGAGATTTCACTCAAACATCATATAACATAGAAAGGAGGAGAGAGAGAGAGAGAGAGAGAGAGAGAAAGAGAGAAAAAGAGAAGGAATAACACACATCTACACAACACCGAATTTCCCATTACCTCTGAGAGAAGTCAGCTCCCTTATGCCAGGCTGGGATGTATTCCCACATCTTGAATGCAAACCAAGAGCCTTAAAATGTCACCTCTCAGATGGTCTGTCACCACAGCTTGCTCAGGACCACATATGTTAGCAGGTGGTCTCTAAACATATCCTATAAATGTAAAGGGCCTACTCCCTTCCAGAGAGGCTGCGTGGCTGTGCAGGGTCACAGGTGAACACTTCCACCAGTCCTTTTCCTCTCTTGACCTTCATCCATAACTCTCAGCAGTGAGTGATGCAGAAAGAGGAGCTAACCTAGATGCACAGCGTTGTCATCTCTCTGCACAGGCTGGGGAAGAAGTGCAAGGAGCCCCATGTAGGGCAGGGCAGCTGGCTGTGGTAGCTACTGAAGGATGCATGGTGTGAACATCACCCAACATCATGAGGCAGCTAAAGGGCATGATGTTGTATCCTAAGGTTTAAAAATGTTGTCAGCTCTCTGCTCATTGGCACAGCTGAGATGTAGCCAGAGTGTTAGAAATCTACTCTTCAATAGTCACAAGGTGCAGGGACTTTGCCTAACAAAGAGCTTATTTGCATAGAAGTAGAAGTTGCTTCTACACCAAGTCAGTCAAAATTTCTGAGGAGCATCCAGTGACAATCAGTATACTGTCACCTCCTTCTCCACCCAAAGACCTCTGTCTTTGACAAGGATTTCTCAGGGCTAGACTCCAAATGTTAGAAGTCAGAAACTTACTTCAAACAGCTTATAGTACCTACATCATATGTAAATAAGAAGTTACCTGTCCCATCCATGATCTCTGTGGTTGGGAGCACCTCGTATGAGCAGGGTTCCCCAGATGCTGGACCAGACTCCAGTTCTGCTAGGGCTGGCAGGGACACCTGGCTGGAGCTCAGCACTTGTCCGGAGCCCAGAGGTTGCCCATTCTCCAAAGCTCCTTCTTCATTTGGTATGGAAAGTTCCCCATCTGTTCATGGTTGGAGGAAAGCAGAATGACAACAGAAGACACATAAATGTGATGCAGAAAGAATTTAAACTGAAATCTTCTCTCTCCATTAGGTTGCTTGCAGATGAGGAACCTGAATCTCTTATGTATACAGAAGACCCACGGATAAGGACCAAAATAATGTGGTTTGTATCTCAACAACACAACCTGTGCAGAGCAGTTTCTGGAGAGGTCTGACTGTGATGTTCTGCCCACAAGAGTTTCACAGATGTCTGACAGCATTCCACTTGCCTTAAGGGGTTATTAAGATTTGGGAAACTTCTGCCAAATATCTGTGTTGAATCCTTTGCTTGCCCTAGGATGGTCATTATGATCCCTGGTCTAAGCTGGATGGTTCCTGACCATCCTCCACCCATGGTTCCATCCAGGGCTACAAAATCTGGTTTCCCTCTGTTGAAGCTGGGAAGTCAGGAAATGGGACAGAACTGAAGCTATAGAGCTTTCTTAAAGAACACTAATATACATAGTATAGAATTTATAATATTTTAATAATAAAAATTATTCTCTTCCCTTATGCCAATTTTTATGCTGTAAGGGACACAAGCAAAATCACAGAAGTGTGTCCCTATTTTATACACAAAGTAAAACATTGCAGCTCCCAGCATTGAGATTTTTATTAAGGGAAAGAATATTTTTTACAGTCTCCTGGTGTAAGGTCTTGACACTGGGATATAGGAGATTCCATTTAGAATGCTTATTTTTAAAGTTATAAATAATATCTCCTCTATCTGAGCAAAATTTCTTTAACAGCAGCTGGTAGTTTCCTTCCTCTCAAACACCACTTCACAGTAGAAATAATAAAGAACAGAAGCAAGGGATCAGCTCATTCTTATGGTGTCAATCAGCAGGATTTTTATCTCAGAACTTGTTATGCACAGCACTCTGGTACCTGGAGGCAATGACTACATGGATATCTCAATTATAGTGTTATAAAGGAATGTGTTCAGCCCCTATGGTTATGAGTGAAAGCCTAAAAATATAAGTGGAATGTGACCTGTAAGGCTTATAACCAGCAGCCTAATTTTACCCTGCACTTAAATTAATTTTTTTTAAGTCAAATTCAGGATTTCAGGATCTAGCTCTTGATTTTTGGGCACCTCTGATCAGTCATGTTACTGCTCCATGTACCAAGCAGTGCATCATCCCAGTGAGTGGACATTTAGCAGGGCTAAGATGTGCAAAACACTTTGGAAAACAATACTGACAAGAGAATAAAACCCTTCAGTCTCACTGCAGTGTCAGGACACAGCAATTAACAAGTCTGAAAGAACGTTCCCTGGGAAGCATTCAGAATTATGTTTCTGCCTTTTAAAGCTTCTCTACAGCCAGTGAAGATGGTCTCCTGCTTATTTTGGAATTATTAGAAATACCAAGGTCTTGACTTTCTTGTTTTTGTTGGAAGCTTTTGGAAGACCAAGAGCTATTATGGTACACAGCCACTCACACTGCTCTGGAACCCCACCCGCAGCTTTCAGAGCCATCAACTGAGCCAGCCAAAAGTTGGCCACATTAATCAAAACTGAAAGTTTTGGCCAGTTCTTCACAGCACAGTCTCCTTCTATCTGCTGTGGTCGTTCAACACAAGCCCATTTATTTCCCTAGGCAGCAGGAATGCA